GCTGAGTTAGCTGCTTATTGTTAAGGTCTTAATAAATCATGGCTGGGTACAGTTTAGGTTCAAACAGGGTGAAAAACATGCAATCTCCACTCGGTGTCGTGGGGTGTCCTCGCGGGGGCTACAGCTCCGTGAAACTGCGGCCCTTTCTGACCCTGTACGGCTGCGTTACCATGGCAAAGCTAGTCGTTCACGGACGCTTCGAGCTTTTTTGATGCCCTGGGCTACTTTAGCCTTGGTGCCCTTGTCTCAGGTTTGTGGAGAGGTACGCTCATTCTATCCGGTACAGCTCGGTAGCACTGGATTGGACCCCCCCCCCTTTTTGAATTACGTTCGTTCAATTTGTGTTGTGATTTGTTCACTACACATGATGCAAATCTCCTGTTGCACCACATCCCAAAGCGGCTCTATAGATTGAGATGTGGTTACTGTGGAAACCATGTGAGTACAGTGAAGTCACTCATGTTCAAGAAACCAGTCTGGGATGATTTTATATCTAAATACCACAGAGATGCACCACAGATAATAAATTGTTACGGACAACAAACAGCTCAGGAGCTGCTGCTGAAATGATGTTTCATCCTTCATTTAAATACATCACCACTGTGATTTTTTAAATATTTGATTCATGATCATTTCCCCTCCGTGACTGTTAAGTTTGGAGAAATCAGTGTGATTGTAAACTGTCACTATTTCAATTATCACACCCTGCCAACAAAGAGGAACAATGTGTGCTTGGAGATGAGAGAAGACAAAAGGAACAGACTGCCCATGAAATAATCGTGTTTGCAGAAAAATATCTTAGAGCTTTATGTGACCTTGTATCTAATCCATGTGTCTGAAAGTGCTATGAAACTATGCTGGGAAACCCACGGTTCAAACAAGCTGACAGGACTGCTCCTCAGCGTCCTCTCAGACTATCACAATTTTGCTTCTTCTTGCAAGAATAAAAGAAAAAGCTCTTTCAGCACATCGATCGGGGTCTCCGTTGCCTTGGTTTTTATTAAAGTGGTGTCACCTTTGGATTTATCTGACATTCCGCTCCTTCAAGTCAGATCCTACATCCCAGCCCTTTGCCAAAAATAAGGAACCTGCAAATTGTGGGAGGCCTTGGAACCATTGCTGGATACCTTATTACTCCCACTGACCACAAATTCAAAAGACCTCTCCGACAACATTTGTCTTATCTGAATCTTATCCAATAAATTTACCAGGAAAATGTTTGATGATAAAATCAGACTTAAGTGTAATTCCAAGTGCAAAGGGAAAGCGAGCCATCAGGTTAGTGAACGAGAAGCTTGCTTGTTAAGTCATTGAAGTGCAGGGAACTTCTGCAACCCGATCCTCAATAACTTCTGATCTTTGCAGAAAAACCAAGACATAATTATGCCATTTAAGACAACTTAGCAACAACTATCAGAACTACATTGTACCTTATATTATAAACACAGATACCCGACCTGATTTAAATGATCAACAGATCAAAATGGGAAGCAAGCCACACACAAAGAGATGACGTCTGATGCACTGGGAACTACTTTGAGATAACATAGCCACATTTAACTGTAGAGAGCCTTATTGAGCCATGGGCCATGCTATGCCTAAACAAACAGGAGGGCTGGTACAAGGTTAGAAAGATTTCTAGGTGATGCTGAGGAAGACAGCAAGGGTGTACGATGTGCTCTGCCCTTCCAACCTTTCAACTGCATTGGAACCAAAGAGTGAAAAATCACCCTGCTCCAACCAGACTGGGCCAAGCTCCAACTAAGTGATGTGCAGCAGCTGACCATTACTGGTTGTTGCTGTGTGCCGTGTCTTCAAGGACTGATTCAGAGAATTATTATTACAGCACTGATTAAGGTAGATAGATGATATAATTTTGTATACAGAGGTACCCATCATGGGCAGATGGTGGCCATGATGACAGCAAGTATTGGCGATCTATAGCTTTGTGTTTGGTTTAGCTCCTTTACATATGAACTTGGTTGTAGCTTTTCTTTTGCGTTTATTATATTTTATTTGCAGTCTGTTTGGGTTCTGGTTAATCTTCCAGGTTCAGTCATATTAAGTTGATTCCCTTTGTGATCCTTTTTCCCAGCCGTCGATGGTCCTTCGTCTCGTGTGTGATGTTCTGCTTTGCTAGCTTTGGTTCTTTTGTGGGTTCTGTTCAGCTGTGTTCCCCAGGTGTTTCCACTCTGCTCTTACCTCATGTGTGTGTTTACGTCTTCAGTCTTCCTCTGTTCTTTCTCACATTGTTGTCATACGTGTCCTCACGCTGTGTGTTCTACGTTTCCTCCATAGTTCATGGCTTTCCATGTGAGGTATTATTACCCTTTATACTCATGTATTTTGATCTTCTTGATATTGTTTAGATAATAATAATAATAATAATAATAATAATAATAATAATAATAATAACTTTATTTATAAAGTGCCTTCAAACAAAGTGCTGTACAGCTATTTGACAGTAAGAAGATGAATAAATAAAAGAGATAAATAGCAGTACAAGTAAAAACAGTAAGAATTTAAAAACGAAAAGGCAAAGAATTAAGACCTGTAGGATAGGGTGAACAAACATGTCTTCAACTTAGTTTTAAAAACCTCCACAGAGCATGTCTGCCTAATATCTTGAGGGAGGCTGTTCCACAGAAACTGGGCACGAAAGGTAAAAGCTCTCCAACTGTCTTTTTTCTGGCTCTAGGAACCTTTAGAAGGCCAGAGTCCTGAGATCGGAGCGCACGAGATGGAACATAAAGGTGTAAAAGGTCGGAGAGGTATGAAGGTGCCGATCCATTTAGAGCCGCGTAGGTGAGCAGCAGGACCTTAAAATCTGCTCGAACCTGACAAGGTAGCCCGTGATCTCAGAACAGGGTAATGTGCTCAAATTTCCCAGTTCTTGTTAAAATGCAAGCAGCTGCATTTTGCAACATCTGTAGACCTCTGAAACTTTTCTTTGGTAGCCCAGAAAGAAGAGCGCTACAATAATCAATACGTGAGGACACAAATGCATGGACAAGAACCTCTGCAGTGTCGCTTGACAAAACTTGTCTGATTTTGGCGATGTTCCTCAAATGATAAAAGGCGGTCTTTGTTATCTTTTCTATATACTACTGTTTAAGCTTTTTCATTAATATGTAGCTAAATTATAAACAGAAGGAAAGTTAATGAAGTTCTGAGAAATCTGTGTGCTTATAAACGCTTGTTTAAGTGCATCTGTTTCACCTCCTGCTGTGCACGAGGAACAATGTGTTCTAGGACATGAGAGACGACAAAGGAACAGACTGACCATGAAATAATTGCTGTGCAGAGAAATATTGTTGACTTGTATGTGACCCTGTATCTAAACCATGTGTCTGAAAGTACTATGAGGAAAAGCTGAGGGGCCTGGCTCTCATCTTCCTCTCAGATTATAAGAGTGAGAGTGTTCTTGCAAGAATTAACAAAAAGCTTTTCCATCAGTCTGACAGTGACGTAGTTCCTCCTGCAAAGTGCAGGATGCAATGAGCAGCAGCACTGTATACAGAAGTATTAGCCTAAGCTTATGCTAGCACAACCTCGCCCAGAGCAAGGAGGGCTAGAGGGGCCGCCAAACCACAGGCGTAGACCCTCCAAATATGTGGAATGATTAAAAAAGAAAATACATCAAATGCATGTTTTTAAACTGACAGTGTGTAAATTGCTAAGACTATAAACCTCTTTTTGAGGAACTTGCTCCTTAGTTGAACATTATGACCACAGGCCCTGTTCCTGCTGTGTAACTCCTCAAGTCTGAACGCAAACTGTATTGAAATCACGTTTCAGCTGAACGTGTCCTGAATACAAATGTAGAGATGCAGATAAAGAAAAATAACAAAACTCATACCTACATTTTGTGACAGAACAACAACTAAAGAGGTGCAGTTCTCATCAAGTGCAGCTGATGAACGGGCAGTGCGACGATGCGGTTCGAGGGCAGTTGCCTGCTTTGTCTAAGGCATAGGTGTCAAACTCTGGCCCGCGGGCCAAATTTGGCCCGCAGCCTAATTACATTTGGCCCGCGAAGCCATACCAAATTACTATTAGAGCTGGCCCACTGGTATTATACAGCTAATATATATATTATTTAGTATTAAGCTTTGCTTGTTCCATATTCAGTTTTTCAGCAAAACCTGTCCATAAGAAAAGATTCATTCTCATATCTGGAGGAATAAATATGTTTCAATAAATATTAACGTTAGCCCGCGACTTTGTTCCAGTTTTGAATTTTGGCCCACTGTGTATTTGAGTTTGACACCCCTGCTCTAATGTGTAGTCAACCAAGGATGGGATCCGAACATGTCTTTGTAAGGGAGGAAAACTTTGTGCGGCCTCCTTCTTGAAACTGCTTCATCCTGTGTTCACAGCGTGTTGCAGTTTACTCAGCAGTGTTATCCTGTAGTTACAAGGCCCTTTGATTGCATTTGAACACAATACTTACAATGTCAGGTCACAAGACATTTTAAATACTTTGCTGCCTTAAAATAAAACTTATAGAAAAAAGCAATGAACCTATTCTGGCATTTCATTCTAGAAAGGTTACATTTATGTATTTGCAGTTTCCTTCCCACCATCTTTTCTTATGAACATGTATAATGTTCTTTTATTATGTGCATGTCTTTATTGTTGTATGTTTTCTCTGCACAGCTTTGTGTTGGACAAAAAGATGTCCATCTCAGACGGTTTGGAGCCATGGTGCGCTGTCCATGTCTTAACGGATCATTCTGAGTATTCGAACATTTTCATCGTTTTTATGGGGAACTTTTCATTTTGATAAATTACCACCCACTGCATTTCCATGGCATACAGCTCCATTCATTGTGCTGTACTATGGATGCATGCTACACTGGGACGCTAGGAGTGATGATGGGTTTCCTCAGGTGTGGCTTGTGGTTACTCATTCGTGACGGGACGGTCCGTCCTTTCAGGCAACAGGTTGCAGTTTGTTGCTGCAAAGGTTGTAACAGTGAAAGAAATCAACAATGCAGTTCTTTGTGTTCATTTTATTAAAAGGTTTTTTTTCTATTTATAATATACGACAAATAATCGGACATGTCTACTTTTATATTCATTATCAATCCTCGACAACTTTAAGTGTAGTACATTTAACACAAAAATGGTTGGTGCATGAAAAATTCATCTGTAGAGGCTGCAAGTAAAACTCAGGGATGCAGCTGTTTTGTTCCTGCAACATGTGGCTGCCTCTAAATCGTCGATATAACTGCTGTTCTTTAAGTGAATGCACATCTTACATTTAACATTTCAATACCTCAAGCTTAACATTTGCCATTTATGGACCAAAACGTGTGATATTTACAGAACAGTACCAGAGCAATGCAGGAAATGTGCTGGTATGACGAGTATTGTCAGGGCCGCGCAGGAGAGATCGTTTTGAAGTTTTGGTGCAGCCCTTGTCGTGGGAACAAGAACCACATGTTTTTGGCACATCTTCCATCCTAGAGGGGAGTGCAGCTTTACATTTGAGCAATACGTAAACAACATCTTGTCTTTGTTTTTTGCATATGTGTGTTATGTGTCCCTCCCTTAGGAATGCCAAGCATACTGCTATTTCCTTCCCTCTGTTTGACAATGCCAGGAGGGACGACGTTTTACAAAAGGAGTGAGAGACAGAGGGAAACTCTCCAGATCACGAGGCGGCATCAGTAGTCGTAAGCTGCAAGAAAGAAACAGAAGGACGGTTATCCAACTCGCCGTCTGGCAGAGTCTACGAGGAAGAGGAGCATGCGATCCACTTCGTGAAGAGAGGTTCATATCCAGACGGGCATGCAATCACACCAAGGTGGTCTTACTTTCTATTGTGAGGATGCAGGTACTTGCTGCCGTGCCTCTGCTGTTCACGGCCTTGCACATGTACTCTCCCTCGTCCTCGGGGAAGGTCTCCGGCAGGTAGAGGCAGTATGTCTCTCCTCTCTCTATGTACTGATAGTCCTCACAATCTTGAAGCACCTCTCCCTCAAACCACCAGGTCACCTCTGGCTTTGGTTCCCCGGTGATCTTTACGGTGAACCGAACTGGCTCAGAATCTACCACCGACTGGTTTTTGAGGGGCTTTTTAAACCACGGGGCCCCTGACCTGGCGTGATCCTCCTCATCTTCGTAAGCCGCAGAGCCGTTAATGATGCTGCCCTCGTCCTCCACGTCGTCATCCTTCTGCAAACAGAGGACAAAACAATCACAAAAAGTTGTTTGTTTGTTATCTCGGTGCAGTTTGTCATGAAAATGGAAGATTTACTTTTTGGAGCGCGGCATCAATCTCCTGCTGCTCAAACTGCATCCTCTGCAGTTTCTGCTCCTCTATCCTCCTCCGTTCCTCCTCCTCTCTTGCTTTGGCCATCTGCTCAAAGCGGGCTCGCATGTCCACTTTCTGTTTGAACGGTGACTCTTCGGCCCTCGCTGGAGTCGTTTCCTGGTCCTCATCCTCCGGAAAAAACAAAAACTTGTAATACATGCTGCCGAGATCATCTTCCATTGATATGAAAAAAAACCACGTGCTATAAAGTGCTCTTACCTCCTGGAACCGCTCAGCTTCTCTCTCCTTAATTTCATCATCGATGGCCTTCCTCTTGGCTCTCTCCGTCTCGATCTTCTTCTGAATCTCCTCCTCAGTCAGCTGCTTGATCTTCTCAAACTTGGACTTGAGGCTTTTGGCCTGAATGGAGCCAGTTCTCTTGAGCTTAGTGAGCTCTTCGTACTCTTTGCTTACAACATCCGAGCTTTCATTTATTTCTTCCTGTAACGATATGTGGAACACAACTTTAAACATTTAGTCACATTTTTCTGTAAAACACGCTGTCGACTCGACTGGCTGCTGTCTGATATTTTCAGCTGTTCGAGACTGACCTCGCCCATCTCTTGTCTGAGTTGTTCGAATTCCTGCTTCTCTTGCTCCATTTTCTTTTTGCGCTCCTCTGCCTTGCGTCTCCTCTCAGCTTCCTCCTTCTCTTTCAGCAGCTCTTCAAAGTTGATCTCCAGTTTCCTGGGGTGCAGGGCTTCCTGAGACTCGCTCTTTACCATCCCTTCGTCCTCATCTAGTACCTAAACACACAAGCACCCACAAAAGTGTTTCAGTATTTTAATGTTTAATGAAATCCTGCAGCAGTAACGTCTTCAATTTGCAAAAGCAAGTGCAAATCTAAAGCATTACAAACATTAGATAAACAGCTGCATGCAAAAAAAAACAAGATGCATCGTCTGGAGGCCACTGTGTCCTTGTATGTGTAGGGAACACATTGATAATAAGACTCTTGGAGTAAAAATAATTTATACTATATCTGAAACTGAAAATCTCTTACTGTTTCATCTCCAAATGCAGACTTTTCCTGATCCAGACCAGGGCTCTTGAAGAAATAATTGAGACAAGGAAACAGCAGTGCAGTTGTAGCCCATCATTACTGATGTGCAGCATGAATCTATTACAGGCAACACTTCTGCAGGGTCACTTAAAGAAGGTGTTGGCTTAATCCACTGATGCTGAATGAAACTGTGTTTGATTGTTTTACAAATATCGTAAAACTGCTTTTCATGCATGTTTTCCTGCTCTGTAACAAGAGAGCTGAGCAGCAAAGCAGCAGCAAATCAACTTGAGGCTTTAACAGCACAAAAAAGCTGTAACACATTAGTGATCAGTCCAATACATGCAGACTGTGCAATGCTTTTGTCACCAAGTGATGGACGTTTACCATGCTCCTGCGGGCCTCAGCAAACAGCCTCTTTTCCTCCTCCAGTCTCCTCTTAGCCTCCTCCTCTGCCCTTTTCTGCTCTTCCTCTCTCCTCTGGCGTTCCAGCTCCTCAAAGCTGACACATATCTTCCCAGGCTCACTGCCCTCCAGGTTCAGCAAGGCCATCAGCACCTCGTCATCCTCGTCTACAAGCTGAGTGAAAACCCAACGGTGCAAAGACCACATTAATGTCTGCCTGGTTTTTAAAAAGCAGTTGATCTCACCGCCTGTACACACAGTAAAGGCAGCTCTGCACAGAAAGCTCGATAATTATCCAGACTAGTTTGCTTCACTAACCAGGCCAACCAGCTGCTGACTAGAGTGTAACGTTCAGTTGGCAGATGATCGCTTCCTCACGCACAAAAGTTCAATCTACACTTTTAAGGCAAACAAATTCATTGATATAATCAACAGATATGTATCCACTCTGAGAGAAATGTTTTGTATTAAATGCAGATTTAATATTGACCATGCTTTTCCTGGCTTCAGCAAAAGCTCTTCTCTCCTCCTCCATCCGTCTCTTGGCCTCTTCCTCTGCTTTCTTGCGCTCTTCCTCTACCCTTTGTCTCTCCAGCTCTTCAAAGCTCAGTCTCAGTTTTCCTGGGCGAAACTCCTCCTTGTCTTCCTGTCCTGTGCTTTCCTCGTCTTCTTCCTGATGAGACACAAACATATCGCAAACGTGATTAGGCCATCTTCACAACACAAAAGTGATTTGGAAGCGCAAACACAAATCCCCTAAAGTTGTTTTTATGAGATGTAAATCCCAGGAGGACTTCTGAAATATTTTCACATGGCTCGTGATTTATATCTTGCTTGAAGTAACTGTACACTGGAAGATGCTGGCAGTCAGAAGGAAGGTTGTTATATCCGTCTGTAGATATGTATGTGTGGTTTCTCTGGTACCGCCCTAAGCTTGCATAGAGGAGGGTTGCAAAGCGACATGCAGATGTACAGCAACTATGGGAATGCTAAAGCTGCTGAAGCGCACTTGTTGCCTTCATGAGATCTGCCAGTGAATCGCACATGTACAAAAGCTATGCTTGCTGTTTTGCAGTCATGTGTACCATTCCCAGCCTGGCCTCCTCAAAAGCTTTCTTCTCCTCTAGCAGGCGGCGTTTGGCTTCCTCCTCAGCTTGCTTCCTCCTCTGCTCCTGCCTTTCTTTCTCCAGCTCCTCAAAGGTCAGTTTCAGCTTTCCAGGAGTGACTTGAACCTTATCGGAAGCTTTCTCCTCTTCATCCTAATGCAAAAGAAAGCAAGAAAGCAGACCTGTGGCTGTAAAACACAATATGTCCTGTTAACACTGCGTTCACATTGATATCTTCATTTACCTGTTGATTAACTGAGCGTCTCTTCACTTCCCGGAAGGAGCGCTTGTTTTCGTCGTAGCGTCTTTTTTTCTCCTCTTCTGCCTTCCTTTTTAGCTCCTCCTCTCGATTCTTCTCCATGTCTTCAAAATTCACTTTGATTTTGCCGGGAGGTCGTGACGGCTTCGCCGGGACCACACGCACCAGGATTGTGTCATCTCCTTCCTAAAAAGTAAAAACAGCCGATAATCACGGTCTAGAGAATTCACAACAACAATATCATCACAGTTTATATTAAAGCAAATGTGACGAGTCAGATATGATATTATTATTATTATTATTATTATTATTATTATTATGATGTGTGTTGTCTGCAGCACTGAGAGAGCAAACCTCCCACGTTCACTGGGACTGTGTGTGGGTAGGGAGCGACTCTGCAGTTCGCAGTAGGTCAGTGTACGGGTGTCAGTCTAAGATAGCAGCAGTCACAGCAGGGAAGGCTCGAGCTAATTCTGTCTGTGGGAGGTGTGGGAAACAGCTGCCAGTCATCTGCTGTCTACACCTGGCAGCTCTGTTCCAGCTGTTTCCAGATCAGTGCATTCCTATATGTGAACAGGCTCTTTTTAATGGTGTGATCTGAAGCGTCATTGTCTTATGTGGTCAACGAGGCACAAAGGAAACAGCTAAAGCAGCAGTCAGGGGTCCGAGTAGCTTTTTAGACACGCTTTGAAGAAACTGATTTGACTTCATGATCTGATCTTTACCATAATCAGGGTCCCAGATACACGTAATTGTGTTCCATACGTACAAAGTAAAATGGAATCTGTTCACTGGTACAGATTCAGTCGAGATATTTGAATAAGCAAAAGTTATTGTTTCAAGTTTATGAGGAGAAAATATCTTTTGGGTTTGTTTTTTTCCGATTGTGTTTCAGTGAAAGCAACAGTGTTACGCTCCTGGTCTTTCAGGCTCAGTGTTATTAGTGATGACTAAGGCAGAGCTTTGCAGCCACGTTCAAAGTTTCACACTGAACAGGATCCGTATAAAAGTCCCATTTTCAGACAGCATTGTGAACCTTATTGCTTTGCTACAGCAGCAGAATCAGGGCAAAGAAGTAGTGCTCTGCTGCTTGTAGTTGCCTATTTGGCACGAGATCACTGACGTAACCATTTCCAAGAACTGCACCGTCTGAATGTATAAGAAGCCTGAAAGTGGACTAATTGGAAATCTCCGTCTGATTTAGCTTGAATCGTTTTCCTGCATAGTGAGGTTAAATGTGTGCCAGCAGTTCACAGACTGGTCCTGTTAGCAATGCTACTGGTGGATTCAGACCTACATCCAGTCTGTGCCAACTCTTTGGATCTCAAATGCCCATTACAACTCATCCGAGAGGCAGCTGAGGATTAACCATTACAGTGGTAACCACACTGGTTCATCGCAGCCTCTCAAACACCAAAACACACTTTGTTTTTGCCTGAGCCCAGGTTCACTGACCTCAGCGGCTTTTTGAGCCAGTTCTTTCTGGATTTTGGCTTTCTCCAGCTTATCCTGGGCCTCCCTCTTCTTCCTCTCTTCCTCCATCCTCTTCCTCTCCTCCTCCTGTCTTTGTTTTTCCATTTCTGCAAACTTCCCCTTCACGCTACCTGAGGATTTCACAAAGCGAGACACAAGCCTTAAGCCTCGTCTTCCTCCCAGATAGTCATCGCTCATTACCATCCCTTACCTTTGATTTTGGGGACGTAAGATTTTTCCACCTTCGCTGGCTTCACCTCCTCTTCCTCATCACTGGAAGCAAGCAGTTCTTTTATCTGTGATCAAGCAGATAGAAAGTGTGACGAGGTAAGGTTACGGTTTAGCTGGGATCATCTCCTTTGCCACTCAGGAGCCATGCTGGTCCCAGCAAGAACACGAGCCTAATCCCTGCTAATAGCAGGGTCATGTGGCTTGCAGCAGGCCTCTGATTGGCCCGTCGTGTTGTTGAACAGATAGGGGATGAGTGCAGGTGTCCGAGCCTGGCCAGCTACGGCACAGCAGTACACAGGAAGGCCGTTTTGTCTGAGTGCCTGATAATCACACAACACCGTATCACTGCTTTTATTTCACTGCAGTCGAGTAGGAAGAAAAGCTGAACCCTGGAATTCTTGATCTCTGACTTTCTCAGTGGGACTGATGTCTGCTTTTTTCTAATGGATTAATGACGTTTTGGTGATATATTAAATCAATTTAAAGCAATTTACCATCGTGGACTAATCTGATTAGTTGATCACTGGATTCAGACGTTTCGGGCATCGTTCATGCTGCTTCACTATCACGTGACCCGCTGGATATTTGACATATGGTGAATTCTGAATTTAAAGTAGTGGTGAGAAAGTTGTTCAGTGCACAACTGTTTCAGTGCATATTAATATGGTTAAAGATGGCTTTTTACAAAAGGTCACTTTAACAACAAGCACAGGCCAGTTTGACTGAACATGAGCTCATATCTACAACGTTTAGCAGGTTAATACATGAGATGTGACAGATGTGACAGATGTGTCGGTGCAGTGTAAAAATCGAGTTCTCTCACAAACCGCAGTCTCTGTCACGGCGCCATGCCTCATCATGCCATGCAGATCACAGTGGGAGGTTAGTGGGGTTATCAGCCTTTGACCTGCTGCTTCCTGCGATGCCACTCTCTCTCCTTGATGTATTGCTCCTTCCTCTTCTGCTGCTCCTCCCTGTTCCTCTGCCTGCTGCGCTCCTCCCTGGCCTTCTGCATGGCCTCAAATTTGCTCGTCACGTTCTCCTTGTCTTTGTTGAGTTTTGGCACGTAGCTTCTTGCCACCAGCTTTCTGGATCTGAGGAGTTTCTGTGGTTTAACAGTCGAAAAAATGATGAGTTCGTTGATGTAACTGTGGGAAAAAATGGTGCCAGAAAATTAAAGATGCTGCCAGTGTTTTTCATCTCACCTCTTTTTTGAATGCCACATCAGAAATGTTCTGGTCTTCATTTGTTTCAGGCTCTTCCTCCTCCTCGTCCTCCTCCTTCTGTGAAACACCATTAACATCTCCCAAGCTCTCGTTTTGCCCTTTCTTTTCTTTGTGCTCCAAGCCGTTCACGTGTGTCTTGTCGGTCTCATTGCTCGCCGTTTCATTCCTGCCACGAGGTTTCTGATCTTCTGTGGATGCTCTCTCACCTCTACCCTCAACGTCATTGGCTGTCACATCGCTTTCTTTATCTTCCACGTCGTGGGCATCTACAGCTGCCACCTGCGCCACCTCAGTCATGTTTGTACCACAGTGACAGGCCGACAAACACACTCTGTTTAAAGTTCTTCACCTGCAAAGCACACAAGTCACGGTTCAAACACTGATGACCAGCCAACCTTGCTTTTTTATTCCACCAAACGTGTTTTTAAGAATCTGCTGTTAAACACACAAAGACACAACTCACTCATCGACACAGCAGAATGAAAGCTTAAAACTAAACTGACAGATACATGATGAGTTTGTTAACCTTTGCCATGTAGTGCCGCACATAAGTGCTCCCTTTGGCCGACAACATGGCAGACTACATTAATTTTACATGATTAAAATCCTAATTTTAAAGGGTTTTTTTTATTAATCTGTGTTTTGAATCAATCATTTTAATGCCATTTCTATCTTTGCCTAATTTGATTTTCCATCCTTTAGCTGAATATCAGCGTAGCACTTTACTGTCGTTTTGCTACATTTCACAGTTACTGTCTGTCTGCACTGTCACATTTTTACCACTGCAAACAGAGCTGTTACTCAGTATCTGGAGAAAGAGTGCAATGGAAGCTTGCCGGCCCCTATTTATAGCCCACTTGTGGCTCTAGGGCATGTGATCGTGACTATTTCTGATGACTGATAGGCAGTTGGACACAGCTCGAGCTGGCACCCACATGTCGCCCCACAGACCCTCGACAAAATGGCCAAACTGAGAGCAGGACAACTGGATGAATGAGAGCTGTTTGGATTGTTAGTCACCCCACACTAAAACTGTTGCTGTGTATCAGCGTCCCCAAATACCTTTCAGACTCAGATATGAAGATCTCACTGTGACCCGGCACAGCTAATCAGAAGCTATGCCATTGAACCAACAGTCAACACACTGAGGCGGATCACTGTAGGCCTCACAGGTGGGCTTAGCCCGACGTCAGAAGTATTCGAAGCACTTTTACATTATAGCAGAGAGTGGCTAATTGAAGCAATTATAGTTATCAATTTTAGGCCTACAACACACTGCTGGAGCCAGGGTAGGTTGTAGCTTGATTTAGGGACGGCTGATTTGATTTTCCACCCTCATTTGAAGAGGTGAATGCCAAAGTCAGACAGTGACAGTGTTTGTTGCCCTTTGTGGATCTTCACGCCATATTCTGACTGTTTAAATTCCAATTTAGAGGGATTTTGAAAGAAATCCATTATAAATCTGTTGCTGCTGATAAATAAAAAGAACCTGCTTTGTAATAAATACTCTCAATATTTAAACAAACGCTAGTGTGATTTCTGTGCACAGCTGGCAAAATCATGCCATAAAAGCCTGATTCTAACCTCAGTCACGTTTAAAACTATTATTAAGCAGTGAAGCTAGAGCCACACCAATGAGCATGGCTAAACCCGCAGTAACCAAAGAGCTGGTTAATCCTAATTCAGGGTGTAGGTAAATAATCTAAAACCACACACTTTGGTCTTTTCAAATCCCCCTCGTGCTACAGAATTATGAAACCAGACTTTACCTCTTCAGTGCTTTCGTCCTCCTGCTTTGATTGATTTTCTTTCTTATTCCTCTGGGAAGCCACAAAACCTAAAGTGAGACCAAGCGGAACAATGCGAGGAGCGACCGCTTCCACCCACTCGACTGGCTTCTGGTTGCTGGTTGCCTGTTGGTGAGCAGTTTCCTTAAAAGTACCGTTACTTTCTACCGGACACTGCATTCCGCGCGCGCCTGCTGCAGGTTCAGCTGTTCAGCCCCGCACGCGCTCCCACACACATGCACGCGCACCGGCGCACGGCCCTATCCCGGTCATTTATTCACAGCTCGAAGCCTTTCTTTTTAATAAAATAAATACAGTAATTGTTTTGGAGGATTTCTGGCTACAGACTCAGCGTTACTTTTGTCAGATTATTATTTATGTATTTATGAAAAGATCGTTACAAAAGTGTAATTAGCGAGCTAATTATTGCTGATTTTATACCAATGACAGCAGATGGATAGGTTATCATTTTTGTGCAGTTTTTCGGTTTTTATTAATTTGTCTGATTAACGTTTTTGTTTTGTTTTTAGAATGAACAAAATGAGCATCATCATCATCATCATCATTATTATTGTTGTTGTTGTTGTTGTTGTTAACCAAGGACGCACTGCTGAGATAAGAGCAGCTCGTTTGGACTGTTTGGTAGAACTGGAGTCTAAATGCAGACAGATTATAATTATCTGCTCGTTATCCAGTTCAGCGCAGATTCAGGACTTATCAGTTCAGAGGGACAGCAGCTTGCCCTTTCCTTTTTTCTAAAATGACCTAGATGTTGCTGTCAGTATGCTATGCAGTGACAGTTGGTGCTGACATTGTTGTGCCAACACAAATGCAGTTGTTCAGTGTGTCACATGCGCTCAGGAACCAGGCATCTGTTTAACTTATCTTAAGTCAAATAACTGAATAACAGCTCCATGGTAGTGCTGATAAGCCTTCTTCTTTAAACTGAGGTGACAAAGTGTTTCTCTCACTGTAGATGGATGTAAATAGAAACCTGGCTGCAGACAGCCCGCTCTAATGCCCCCATGCACAGCTGCTGACTCACTGACCACACAGGCATCCGGCAGAAAGTGCACAAAGTTAAGTCCCCATTCAAGCACTCCAGGAATGTTGCAGACAGTTTTTGAGAGGCTGCGCACAAAAGGCTCTGCTGATCATGCTGCTCATTTGTCAAAGCTTTGGTCATATCTACTTTTTGGACATGCCAAAAATGTAGGAAAGCTTCATGATTCTAGCAATTACACTGTGACTATGTAAGAGGTGTTGATATTTTGGACCCCCCTCCCAAACTGAAGAGCTAAAACTCGGGCTAGTGTTGCACTTCTAAGTGAAACATGAGAGTCACGGTGCCTCTGGAAAAGAAAGAAAGCTCGAGGAGTCCTTTGAGGAAACAACATTAAGACTAAGCTGTTGTGTTAACTCGTTCGGTGCACACAATTCAACAAAAGTGCACAGTGTAGATAATAAACACAGAGAGTTTGCCAAGGTCACTACACGTCTTCAAGCAGGCATCGAACTTTGGATTGTTGTATCTGTGTCTCCACTTTGACTGATGTTTGCATTTGAATGATCACATGAACTTCACATGTCCGTTGCACTTCCTGCCCAGATTAAAGCATTAGCTGGTCAGGGGTACTGTTCAGTGAGCTCTCGGGGCACTAGGGTCGTGGTCCTCCTCTGTTTCCGAGTCCGGTGGGGTATTAGGGACAACAAGGGGACTGCTTTAAATAGCACCACAGCTGTGGAAACTAATCAGCACTGCAAGGACAGCTAACCTGAGTCAGACTGGGCCTTAGCATCAGCTGCTGCAGCACAACAACTCAGACTCCCCTATGGATATTTCATGGTGGTACAGCCCGCGCCCCCACGCTGAAACCCCTGTAAAGTGGCTCACCGGGTCAAAACTGCGCCATGTGCTGCTGAATGGACACACCTGTCCACACCTCTAGCAAAGGTACACATAACTTATGAGCAAATTTCAAACCACATAACCAAGCAGTCAATAGAAAAGGACGGCGCTATGTGACACGCTCATGAGCTCAGCAAAAGGGAAAAAACTCATCAAATCTTTTATGTCTCTTTTCATTTAAGTCACTTATAAACAGGCTGATTCACACAAGCAGGACTTGGACCAGTTAAAACACATTTCAGCAACCCTCTGATTCTTCCATCCACGCCTCATATGAAATATATTCCTGACACTCGGTCATGATGAAGCTCAGCCATGTGAAGCAATCCTTCCTCCTGAGCAGACAGGCCAGTCCAGTGGCATGCAATCATGATACAAAGTTGTGCTTTGGAAACAGTTAAAAGGCAAATGGAAAGTAACAAAGTGTGATCATGAGCAACAGCCTGCTCGGGCCCAGAGCAGTACTAATCTGCAGGTTGAGCTGGATGATTGCATTTTTAGAAGAAATTACTGTGTTCTGGCCAGACTTGGCAATGCACTGTAGGACATGGACTCTGTGATGCCTCTGCCTTTTCTCCAGCCTACATAGTTAAATGAGATCAAATTAGGTGGTCCGGAAAGAACAGAACAACCCTTCATCCACTGAGACATGAACAGATGTTTGTGCTGTTTTCAGAAGAACAAGCAGACTGTTGTTCAGCTCGTGCCCCCGTGTGTCTAAATCAAAATAATCAGAATGAATGCTTGTTAGCATCCGTGTTTGTTTTGTTGTTGTTTTTTTAACAGTTTCTCTCTTGAACTACATTATAACTAATTTGGGTTAATGTTACATACAAACATGAGATCAATGTGGTTTTATTTGGCTCTTCTGTGTTAAAGTAGGGACTTAGAACATTTCCGTAATAATGATTCAAAACAGCCCAAAGTTAAAATATTCCAGTTATCTGATAACAGGCACTGGCTTCCACTCTGCACCACTGGCTTGGTGACAGCCCTCCGAGGGACGGTTATTATGGTACTACCCATGACTGGACACAATATCTTAACAAGGACAGATTTATATGTAATCGTGCATCAGTCAGCAGCTGGTCTCATGGCCCGGGGCTTGTGTACATTTATTACCTGAAATCATGAGGAAAGCTGGTTTATCCTCCTGTGCTGTTAAACAAATTAAACCTTGTGTACATTTTTCTTTTCCGGACCTTCATCGAGGCGCCTTCCTGTCAGCGTGGATGCAGAATATGAGCGTCTCTCACTGCCCCCTAGTGGAAACAAAGGGAAAATACCTGTTAAAGTCCTGACCGTAAAATGAAAGGCAAGAAATATATCATGTGAGCTGGTGACTAATTATAAATATTCATTATTCTGCACTTGATGTCTTTATGCTTCAGTTTAAAGGTTGTTCAACGACCTGAGCAAACTAAGAAACTCATTATGATGTGTTGACCTGAAGCCCCTTCATTAAAAGCCTGTGTGTATGTGTTTGCATTGATGTCGTCGGTTTGTGTCATTGTGGCTGAACCAGTTATTAAGTAACAAAACACGTTACTTCACTTTAGAATCAGAGCCTTTCAGTCTCCCTGAAATGTGAAATTAAGTGATTTTATGGAGAGAACATGAAGATGTTCTTTGACTGTTGCTGAATTTTGGGGTTTTTTGTTACTTTATTTGAGCTTTGAATACTAACACCCTTGTTTCTTTTATTTCCATAATGTTGTGAAACATGTGTCTACAGGTGTGTTTATGCTTTATTGGTAGTGCTGTAAGAAAGTCAAACATTAATCATAAACAGTGGATTTCAGACTGTGGGCTGGGCGCTGCTGGGCACAGAGCCAGTGGACGTGTGGGTGTGGACTAGTGGAAATATCGATTGAAAGTAAGTTAAATGAATGTGATGTTTGTTGCCATAAAATGATGACAAATATATGTGTGTGTGTGATTTTTGTAGAAAAAAGTACAATTTTCTTATACCCCACCTACCTTTATTTCACTAAAATGTGACATCTGACATGTTTTCAGCTTCCAGAGTTAAGGTATCTTCTTCTTTTGGGTTCCAACACATCAACCCTCTGCCTGCTCTGCTTCAGTACATCCATGAATCTTCTCTGTGGTCTTTCTCTTTTCCTGCTGCCTGGCAGCTCCATATTCAAGATCCTTTCTCCAACATATCCATTGTCCCTCCTCTGCACATGTCCAGACCATCTCAGCTTTTCCTTTCTCTATTTTGTCTCCAAGCTGGTCATCCTGAGCTTCCACTCTGATGTACTCATTTCTAATCTTGTCCGTTCTGGTCCCTCAGGCCAAAAATCTTTAACTCTGCCACCTCCAGCTCCTTCTTCTGTCTTGTTGTCAGTGCTGCCATCTCTGAACTATACATCATAGGAGGTCTCACTAAACCTTCTGGGCATGAGCTGATGGCTGGATATTCTAATAGAGAGCAGAAGTCACGATTCCATCAATTACAGTGTGCAGTCGTCCAGGTCCTGAAGCAGCAAAGCAGCTCAGACCATCATACTAACAGACTAGCTATGATAGTCTGTTTATGAAAAACCTTCCAAAAAGCTCCGTTTTTGTCTCGTCAGTCCGCAGATTATTTTTCCAAGAGTCTTGGGGATCATCAAGATGTTTTTTTTGGAAAATGTGAGACGAGCCTTTGTCTTCTTTTTTGGTTAATAGTGGCTCTTTCCGTTTTTGCCCACTCTGTCTTCCTTATTGTTGAATCATCAACACTAACAATAACTTAACAGGTGAGGCCTGCAGTTCTTAGACCTTGTTTTAGCCCTGTGTGGAAAGCTTTTTGACACAGGGCCAGGTAGGTTTGGATGGCTTTTTTTCCCGTAATAATTTAAACCATCTGTCTATTGTTATTTGCCTGAGTGTAAAATGCAAAAAATAAAAATAAAAAGATAGAATCTATTTATATATCTGTATGAAAATGTGTGTGTGTGTGTGTGTGTGTGTGTGTGTGTGTGTGTGTGTGTGTGTGTGTCGGGGGGGACTGGCTCAGTATTTACAGGAAATACATTGTTATTCACAAGCATTTGTGCCCCTGTGCCGAGACAAAATACTGAAAGCAGTTTAGCGCGCACGCTCCACACATGCGCACTATTGACAGCGCCCATCACGTCGAATAAACAACTTCCTGGTCCGGGAAAATCTGACATTATCGCGATAGACGGGCTGATCTGTTAGTACTTCTGCACTTCAGCGGCACGGGCCTGACGCTGGAATGCAAAAGCATAAGTTG